TCAGAGGTGAACCAAAGAAGCTAATGAAAAACAAAACAGCATGCCCAAAATTCTGGAGACTGTGTGGTACACATATTTGGTGGTAAAAAGAGGCAGGTGTAAACAATAGTACAATAAGAATTCCATTGCTGGTTGAGTTAGTGAAATCCTGTACACTGTAATATCCCTGTTATATACATGGCTTTATTAGGACCCAGTCTGATCACTCATATTTCTAGTTATGTCACTAAGTAATTAGGAAAATTCACATGCTCAGTATGTAGAGGTATGTGAAATTCAGTTTTGAGAGTTTTTGAAATCAAGCTTTTGTTGCCCATGTATTGAAGTCTTCACAGATGTTGTTAAAGCAGAAGTCTAGTGATGTCATAGCAACGAAGCTTGTTAAAAGGTGATATTCCATTAAGAGGCCTCAAGAATTATCTTAAGCTTCATCTCTGGCTCTGTTTAATATCTTGACACAAATTAATTTATATTTTAATATATATAGCAACTTTTAAAATTATTAATAGATATCAGGATGGCTGGTTAAACTGAGTACCGTAACTTATAAAAACCTTTAAAATACATGTGAAAATAAAAATTACATTTAAAATTTCCCTTCCAAGTTTTGAGCATTCTAGAGTACTCTAGAAGGTTAACCTGTCACTTCTAATGCAGTGTTACATTAATAAATTATGATTAGCATTACCTTCATTCTGACTTCTATTAACTTTCAGTTTTAATGTATTTGCTCTCAGAGGTACACAATAAAAATAAATATTTAAATTTCCCACTTTATAAAATTTAAATTATTTAAATTTATTCACTTTATGATACCTTATATAAAACTGCTTTTAACTTAAAAAAATTTTTTTTGTTGGGGGGTAATTAGGTTTTATTTATTTATTTTTTAGAGGAGGTCCTGGGGATTGAACCCAGGACCTTGTCTTGTCCTCTGCCACTTGAACTATACCCTCCCCCACACTTTTAACTTGTTTTTAATAATTAAATTTGTTTAAGAGTTATTCTTATTTTATACTTTTGACCTTTTTTCTTCCCTTTCTGTATCTACCTGACATTTCTTTAGCTATTTTCACCTGCTATGGGTATCAATTTACAAAATCTAAGTCAGAAGAATTATAACTTCCCTTCACAAAAATTTCCTTGAAATACTGTGTTTAAAAGTTTCTGTTACAAGTTTATTAGGGAATCAATTTGCCTTTATAAGTCGAAAGTAATAATCTAGAAAATAAACTTATGCAATGGTTCAATGGGGGAAGCCTTGGCAGAGTGTTGCTGTTTTGATAGGTTCTTTAATTTTAATTTGTAGTAAGTAGTATTATGAATATAGCTCAGATAATCAATACATGGGCATCTTTTGTTTTTCAGGCCAAAAGGTATGTTTTGCTGATTACAAGCACCCGTGCTACAAGATGGCCTACTTCCACGAGCTGTCCAGCCGGGTGAGCTTTCAGGAGGCACGCCTGGCCTGTGAGAGCGAGGGGGGAGCCCTGCTCAGCCTCGAGAACGAAGCAGAACAGAAGTTAATTGAAAGCATGCTGCAAAACCTGACAAAGCCAGGAACAGGGATTTCGGACGGCGATTTCTGGATAGGGCTCTGGAGGAATGGAGAGGGGCACACATCTGGTCCCTGCCCAGATCTCTACCGGTGGTCCGACGGAAGCAGTTCCCAGTACCGGTGAGTAGGGATCCTGACCAGTCAGATGTGCTCTGGGGGGGGGGCTTGGAGGGCAAAGGACAAGGGGAGATTTCTGTTACTCAGAGTAGAATGGGCAGAATCAAAGTGTGGCTGCTGGCATGTATCTGCAGAAACTGGTACACTGATGAACCTTCCTGTGGAAGTGAAAAGTGCGTGGTGATGTATCATCAACCAACGGCCAATCCTGGCCTTGGGGGTCCCTACCTGTACCAGTGGAATGACGACAGGTGCAACATGAAGCACAACTACATCTGCAAGTATGAACCAGGTAGGAAGCCCTGGAAGTCTCTGTACAAGCAGATGTGGTGCATATTCGCTTATATTAAGTTTTGTCTTTACCCTTCGCTACCCTGGGCTCTTTGAATTTTTCTGCTGTGAAACATGGAGCTACTTTGCAGCCTGATGATCCTCTACTAAAGCACGCTGTGCTGTAGAGCAAACTGCACAATGAGTTAAACAGAAGGGAGTAACTAGAAACATCGGGAGAGGGGTCTTAAAGAGAAACTAATTGTCTCTGTTATTAAGGGCAAATTGTGTTTTTGTAAACAGTTTTTTATGGAGAATGCATATCTATTTTAAAATATTTAAACACTGAGTATGGTGTGTGTGAAGTAGGTATAAGTCACCACACACCAGTAGGTTTGCACATCTGGTCAGTAGTTCCTTAGATGATTTTCTGGGGAATTTAAGAGAACAAAACATCATTCTCCTGGGACGTTGGCTTATCATGTCACGGCGTGAAGCTTGGTGTGTACTCCTCAGTGGAAGTCAGACTGGTCACAGCTCAAAGAAACTTGGTGTAAAAAAGGGCGTGCGCCGTGCTCTTCCTGCGATCCTCATTCTTGGGAATGTGCCGCCTCAGTTCGCTTTTGGTTGAAGGTTCCAGATTCTTGCCACGTGCAGCACACGGGGAGCTTGCACGGGCCTGAGCTACACTGGTGTTGTTTCCTGTGGACAGATCAAGTTTGAATTATTTTACACAGGACAGCTCAACTGAATTGATCTTTGACCAAAAGAGAGACTAATCAGAACTATGTAAACTCGTCTCTTTAATCGTCTAAGAAAGGCCAATCAGATACTAAGGCTTTAAGGGTTTTTGCTGTTTTTCTCCTTCTTTATGTTGGGAAGTTTCATTTCAACTCTTCCAAGTGCTGTCTGTCTGCTCGACCTCGTAACCTTTGTTCACGAAGGCAATTATAATCAAGTACTGCTATTTCCATTATTCTCCTGAAATTACATGATTCTTTTTCTCATAAGACTGTGAAGCCCAGGGGATTATTTGGATTAGATTTACCCTTCTCATATTTATCCTGCTCTTGAGCATATTAGCCTACTTCCTTTATCCCTGGTGAGTTTATTCTTTAAACCCCTTGGTGGCTAAATCCATCATTACCCTCTTAGAAGCCTTTGCAAAGCTAAATCTGTTATGCACTTGGGCTCCTTTCTCTTGATTTTTTTTTTTTGTTGTTGTTAGAACAATATAAAGTTGAAACTCTCTGATATTTTAAATTTGTGACACTATGTGCTTGAAACTTAAATGAAACAGTGTATTCTAGAGTATTCTTAATACAATATCATCTTCTCCTTTCTTTGAGCTTTTAGGTGACTCTTCATATGTTATTTTATTTTATGTCATACTCATTACATTATTCAGGACACTATCACCCTCAGAATCTTCTTTACTTGTTTTATATTAGGTAGACTAGGTTTATATTATGCATGGAAGAGCATTTTAGACATAAAATAATTTTTTCCTTATCTTCTATATTCTACCTGAATCTTCAAATGCCTATATTTGAGCAAAATTCTTTTATGTATTTATTGTTTTTGAAGCACATGTATACTTATACAGTTGGTCTTATTAATGTACTTAGAATTTTTATTATTTATTTTACTCTGAATATTTTCATCTTTATTTCTTTTCTGCAGAGTTAACCTTCTTTCCTTGAGCTTAGTGTCTTCTGTATGAAGGATGTTGGTTTGATTAAATTCCTTGCTTATATAATCAGTGCTTTTTTGGTGGTGAGTAGTTAGTTTTTCAGTGATGAGAGGAGTGGAGGATCAAGTGTCAGGACTAAGTAAAATTTACAAATTATACCACTAATTGTTTTGATCTTTATTCTCCCATTATCCCAGAAGTACTACGTGATTTGAACTTAGTCTCCTCTCTCTGCTCCTACATACCATCCAATAGCATGACTAATGATATCCCAAGTAGTGAAAAATTAGCCTGGCCATCTGGAAACTGAATAATTCACTTCTGAGCTTTCTCACTCTCTTCTCCACCTTTTGTTGGTTACTGTCCTATGAGTTGCATATCTTTTCTTTGGGTCTACCAATGTTATCCAAAGACAATTATGAGGGGATATTTTTTACTCTAACTTTTATGTTTATTAAAATTACATTAAGAGCTCTTAGACATTAAAAATAGTATGTATGAGATTATGTTCCTAAAATTCTGTTACTTAATCAGCAAATGCATTAATTTAAAGTTTGGTAAAATATTTTGAGGATGACCAATTCTGTGTTGCTAAATTGCATAATATCTGTATTATCTGTTCAGCAAGTATCAATTGAGCATCCAGGGGCATAGAGTGCCTGCATTCTGCAGAAGAATGCACATAGGATAGGACTCTGTCTGAAGCCAAGAGGAGGCAAAGTGTCAGGGTAAAATATGTATATAAGAATAATAAATGTTATTATAGGATGCTGTATGATTAAGCTTCCAGTCAATAGAGACCACGTGGCCCAATTAGAGTAGTAAACATTCCATTAAAAATGATTTAATATTCTAAAACTAATATAAGATGCTACATGTTTTTTTTTTTCTTTTTCATTAATTGACAAAAATAGAGAATTATACTTTTGGAACAAATAAAAACAAATTTACAGGATATTTTCTTAGTAATTAAATTTATTTTCACTAAACCAGATCACGGTAAGAAGTTTTAATGGTTTTCAGGTGTATGGTAATTGAAGCAATCTTGCCTCATAAAACCAGGGAAAGAAACAACTCGCAAACCCTAGTTTATTATTATTATTATTTTTTAAAGAAGTAGATACTATTGGAAAGCAAAACTAAGGATGACAGTGTTTGTATGGGAGAGAAACATGCTTTAGAACATTTTTCCTTGAATCACCAATCCTGGGTGCAGTTTATATACAGTTACCTGCTGCCTATTATTGTGGGGAGAAATCATACACTGATTATGGTATAGGAATCCTCCCTGCTGGTTGTTGAATTGCAGTTAGTGTCTCACATTCTTGCATATCTTTACCTGGCTTTGCACCTCCTTTGTCACTCTTGCCTCTAGTAGGGATTGCCATCAGCACAGGCACTTTGTGGTTTGCTAAATGCACATTGGGGTTGTAGGAATCCACCCAGTGGATCCAGCTTGCCAAGATTCACCAAGTAGATCCTTTATTCAAAGATAATTAAATCTTGACTTTACAATTAGGTACTTTCATATAACTTTAAATCCAACATAGAATTAGTTGTAAATTGTTCAGAAAACGAAACTATGATGTTTATATTGTCTTATAATAAACTTCTATTTTCATCCACATTCGCATTTGTCTTGTTTATCAGTATGTATGATACCTGTACTTACTATTTACAGAAATTAATCCAACACCTCCTGTGGAAAAGACTTATTTCACAAATCAACCGGGAGACACTCATCAAAATGTGGTTGTTACTGAGGCAGGTAATTAGTTCAAGTATCTTTAACTCATCTATGAAGAGCAGAAAATGTACTTTCAAACTTTGCTTCATGTTGACCCCAACTTTTCTTGTTGCTTGGTGATAAAATAGTGCACAAAATATAGGCCTATGGAAATTTGCTTTAGGATTAGGTTAGAACCAATGATGTTTTTGAATAGAAAAATCTGTTTTGTTTTCTTATTGTTTTCACTTTAAGTGGGTATATCTAGTACTAAGTCTTCCACATGAAAACATAGATCCACAAGGAACTTCCCCAGTATGGAGATGTTATGATGTAAATCGGCAGATTCAGTGGCCTATAAACGGGGATACTGGTAAATGTTTAGGGACTGATTTGGGTAGGATGGTTTTTTTTAAAGCCTAATTTGTAGATTTTGAGTTTTCTATGGTGTGAATACTTCCACTCTGGCCAATTTCAAGCTACAAAGTGACATCTGAACGGCAGGTTGGGTAGCAGGTATAAATGAGCTTTCAACTCAGTGTCCTCAGATACCACTGTCTGCAGAAGACACGAAATGCAATCCCAATCCAAATTTCATGTTGGTCAAAAACTGCTCTTAGTATCAGTTAGGGGCATGTTTCAGCGTGTCCCGATGCCAGTTGGACAGAAATATTAATTTATACTAGTTACTTTGTGAAGATTGAGCCAAAGACCCAAAGTCTCAAAATCTTTCCACAGGTGATCCAAAATCCATGAAAAGAGTAGGAAATACTTTTTCTTTTTTTTTTTATTCTTATATATAAAGGATCATGATGGTATTTTGAATAGGAAAGGAAATATTTCCTGAATACTTAAAAAGTTTAGAGTCACATGTTGGAGGCTCAAGAGTCAGTGAAAACATAGCAGATTATCCCCAAAACTCCCCATCACTGGACCTTGCTTAATTTTTCTTCTTCTGTTAACAAAGGAAGTGATGTGCAATAAAATGGATAATTTGGTCTAAGTCCTGTCCACTTTGACCAAAATTATTTAGATTAATTATTATGATGGCTTTTGATTTGCTATTTAGATGCATGATTTTCCAATTTGCTTTTCTTTTGTTGACTTGATATTAAGCCTTAGCACTTTTCACCTTTTCACTTTCAGGTGTCTGACTTTAAAACCATTCAGAACATGTAAATCTAAATAAATAGATCAGTAAATTATTATATTAGGAATATTTTCCCTCTTATAATGTTGAAAAAATTGTTTAATAAAGTCATTTTAAGCTATATGGGACTTCTGTGTGGCTGTTTTTTACTCCAGCAAGAATATCTAACATTATCATGTGTAATAGAAGAGGATTTAAAAATGACTCATTTTAGAATTTAATTAAGATCAAGTGTTTAAGCCTCTGGAATCTTATGTCTCAAGGTTATGACTGTGGCATCAGTTAATGTTTACATATTTTGTTTTAAGCCCAGAGAGTCATGAATATCGTCATGGCACTGAGCTTATTAGTAGGATAATTGCATATCCAATAAATCAAGACTTATATTAGTAATCATTATTCTTTAATAATCAGTGCTTATTTCTCTAAGTAATAACTGACAAGGATTAATGAAGTGAGACAGCTTAGATTATTAATATGTTATGGAAACCAGTCCCAATCTGAATCACAGATTTAATCATAGTTTTGGAAATAGGGATATTTAGCTGGAGCATGACAACCATGCAGTATGATTTTGTTTTTAATTTTTAACCAAACATGAATACATTACTTCATTAGGTTATTCAGTATTTGGGGAAGAACCTTGCTTGGAATTTACTTATTGATAATAATTCTATTTTGCCTTAACTTTTTGGAAAGTTTTTTACAACTCTGATATTAGAATCCTGACTCAACTATGTTTTACATTAAGACTGTTTTACTTTTATAGGAATAATTCCCAATCTAATCTATGTTGTTATACCCACCATCCCACTGCTCTTACTGATACTGGTTGCTTTCGGAACCTGCTGTTTCCAGATGCTGCATAAAAGGTAAATAACTCACATATGTAGAGACAACTTAAAAAGCTTTATGTAGGTCTTCAGAACTCTTTAAAAATTTAGTATACAAGCATGTATTTAATTTACCATAAGAAAGTTCTGATTTTCGTATCTGTCAGTACAGATCCAGTATATATAATCTAATAAAATATACCTCATGATTATAGGATTCATGCATTATCTCATTTAATCCTCACAAACCAAATGAAGTAGGTACCCTTCTGCTTCTGTTTTTCAGTTGAGAAGATGGCGGCTTGGATGGGTTTCCAGTTTGCCTTGGGTCTCATAGCTGGAGGGTGTGGTGGGTCTGAAATGTGAATGCTTATTAGCTCACAAAGTGTGCAACTATACTGTGCTGTCTCTTGTTAATTAAGCATAAGCTTGAGTGCTAAACCTTTCAGTCTTGACCTCAAGTTGTATGCGAGGCTTGAGTCTTGTAGGTGCTTTGTAGTTCCTTTTCAAAACTCGAAGTCACAGGCTTCTGTTTTATTTCCAAAGGATCATTTAAGTGTAGGAAATACAGTACAATGGTAAAAATGTGTCACTTTTTAGTAGACATCTTGAAATAAAATGATAAATCTTAACAGCAAGATTCTTTTACATCTGTTTACTCATACCCCTAAGTTAGAAGTGAAACTTTTTCATGTGTATCAATTTTCCAATTAAACTAAAACATTAATATGTGAAATATCAATGTGTATCAAAGGAAAAGGAAAAGGAAAAGGAAAAGATGGTGGGTTTAAATGTATGCCTGCTTCCTAGAATAAACTAGACATCTTTGTCAGAGTGTTTTAAATAAAAATCAATTAAGAGAATGCTTCCCTCAGGGAAGGACCTGAAGATAAGTCATTTTTCTCTTTTGACTTTACTTCATCATCTGCTTTTCTTGAAATGAACCCTAAAGGATCCACTAAGTAAAAGAGCCCTGGGAAAAAAATAAATAGCCATAAACTAAATGGTTCACATAAATTTTTTAAAGGAATCCAACCTGTGATTTACTGGCTATTTAAATAGACATTTTGAGTAATGATAAATAAAGCCTGGCAAATTAGTACTACATTTTGTGTTCTCTAGGCTTTCATGTATTTTTTTAATTTTTTATTTTATGTCACATTTAAAATTCTTTTTCAGTATTTTGTATAGAATAAAGACAATAGTCAGTGTCTAATTTCTACCTTAATTCCTAAGACTATAGACGTAAAGATAATTTATCATTATGAAAAACAGTAAATTAGAGGGAGATTTGATAGAAATCCCCCCATAACCCAGCCAAACTCTTGAGAAATAACTATAAATAACAAATCAGTGTGAAAAATATTTGAAAAAAATATGTATACCTTCTCATTTTTAAAATTAAAATTACTAACGTGCTACTGACTGAGTTTTCTCCAAAATTTGTTTTCCTTCTTCCAAATAGTGTGTTATTATGCAGATTCTGCATATTCTAAATTCTTTCAGGTTTTTATACTCTGAAGACCTCTGTGAAGTTTTCACTTGTGTGAAATTCTCAGAGTGAGAAAATAAACCAAAACAAAGTCGTCCAGATGCCGGAATTAGCTGTAGTGCTTAATTCATTCTTTCTTAGATCCTCCCCTTTTCCTTTCTTCCAGGAGAGCAAGGAGACACTTCATCAAAGACTCAACTCCATTATCATCTGAGTGCCTTGCAGAAAGTTTAAATGCCAGTCTGGTACACATGATGGTTTCTCATTCCATGTCATGTTCAAAATAATAAGTCTTGTTTCCTTAACTGTAGTAACTTAAATGAAATAAATACTAATGCTACACAAAAGCCACATTAATAACTTAACCACCCTCCCCCCTTTTTTTAAACCGTTTAGAAAAATCTCATGTTTTTCATAAACTTCGCTTGGCTTATTTTCCATTCGTGTTAGAGGACTTCATAGATAGAGATGTATTGACCTTACTTAATTGGATGCGTATCTCCAAAATGTGTCATATAATAACTTGTTAGTAACCAATTCACAGGTAAATTGAGGTCAGTTAAGTCGTATGATAACATTGTATTGCTCAGGCTTGTTCAGGAAGACTTCTTTCTTTGCAGGAATTCTGCAGCATCTGATAGTGAGTGGATGGGATGAGGTAGAAGAAATGCCTGGGGATTGGGGCAGATGCTGGTGGAGGGGGGGATGTCTACAGCAGAAAGAAAGTACAGGACCCAATAGACAGGGACAGCAAGTGGCTAGTGATTCAGACGAGGACTCCTTCCTAGGAAACTAGACCAAAAGGCACCTAGACTTTGGTAAGTATCTGGAAGAGGATGACTTGAGTAAACTCAGGAACAGTCACTTTTGCAGGAGTCTTTGAAATGGCCATTTTATGGAAGAAGTTAGAAGCCATCACAGCCTGAGGTACAGGCTAGAGATCTAGAGGACCTCAGATATGCCTGACTTATCAGACCTGAATCTGCTTTGAACTACATTTGTCTCAGAGACTGAAGCAAAATTAAACTTTCAGGGATTCAGTGACTTAACTATAGGACAGAAAAAAGTGATGGGAGGAGGGGACTGGGAAAGTCCTTATACTTAGGATAAAAGCACTGTTTTGATGATTTGGCATTAAATACATCATTTATTAGTGGCAGATTATTCAAAAAGCAAAATTATAATAATCCTTGATCAAAGAAAATGAAGATTTATTGATGACAATAAAAATTTTGATACTATGTCAGACACATTTGTGTGTATCTGAATTCTAAACAATGAGGGGTCAGAGAAAGATCTGTTTTATTTAATTTTTCATTATTTCATACGAACTGCTTACCATCTTCACATACTGGAACAATCTAGAATTTTTTATAGGAATGAAAACATACGCTGCTAAGAGAAGAAAGACTCTTTCATGATAAGGGTCTGGCATATCTCCATGTGGACCAAGACATGCCTAGTTTGATAAGAAAAGTCTCAGACATTGAACTCACTTCTTCTTCTGTTTTTCAGTAAAGGAAGAACAAAAACTAGCCCAAACCAGTCCACACTGTGGATTTCAAAAAGCACCAGAAAAGAAAGTGGCATGGAAGTGTAATAATTCACTGGCTTGGCTCCAGAAGGAGTTTTGCAATTCTGGATCTGTGTAAGGAATGGCATCAGAACCTAAGCTTGGAATGGCTTTGAAATCTCAAAGGATCTGCAAGATGAACTGTAAGCTCCCCCTTGAGGCAGATATTAAAATAATTTTATATGGTTACTATTTCATTTACAAACTACGCTATGCTAATAATGGAGTGAGACATGCTTATTTTGCTAAAGGAAGCACCCAAGCTTCAAGTAAATGGGATAGACCGTGCAGATAAAATTGCTGTCAACACGTCACAGAAGTATGTGCATTGGAAGCAGTTATTTTTGTCTCTTTCACCGTTCATAAGTTGTAATCTAGTTAATGTGATGTAAATCGCATTGCAATTTACAGTGTGCAAAAGTATTTTTCCTTTACATACGTGTTTGATAAAAGTGGACTGTTCTAATATTTATTTTTATGGTGTTTCATTTTTCAGTACATGCTGTTTTGACTAAAGAAATTTATCACTGTTGTCAAGTGACTTCACACACACATAAATACATTACCATAGGAAAAAAATGTCTTTTCTAGAAATAGCTCATCCTCTTTTACTTTCTCTACTTTGGGTCAGACTGTGTGTAGAAAATGTCTTCAGAAGTAAGAAGTTACTTCATGAACCGTGGTATCAATCTACTCAAATATTTTACTTAGAGGCAAGGATTATCTGATTTCAATTGTGCAAGATGTGTGCCTTACAATTATTTTTAGTTTAAAATCCAACAGATTTTGTAAGAACTTTGTTAATAGTTGTATAAACAAAAATATACTCAATTTCGAACAAAAAAAGTGGCATACACGATATAAAGCATCTGTCTTCACATGTTGCCTATTATAACCACAAGTAGCTCTCTGAGGGTTCTGGAATCGATGTGGTCCCTCCCTTGCCCACAAAGCAAAGATGGTGGTTTGGGTCTGGGATTACCCCGGAGGTGGATTAGCTGCAAAGTTTGCCTAAGGTTTTTCCTAGCTGGTTAGCCTCTGTCAGCGTATAAAGGGGCTTTACAGTTGGGACTAGGTGAATGGTCACCGCTGCAGTGGACTTAAAGCCCAGCACACTGACATTTCCAGGAGGAAAGAATCTATGAACTAGTATGAAAATGGGTTGCAAGACATCAACGTCATGTGTTCATTGTCGAGGGTGTGGCGAGGACAGTAATCTGGGGCGCCTCTGTCCTAATCTTCTAGTTTCTTCAATGCTTGTGGCTCCTTCTTCTCAAGAGAGCTGTACCTATCTGGTCTTCAAATGTCTCTGTGCTCCTTTTAATCAAATAAAAAGTCGTGTTTCTGAAGAATGATCATTGGTGTTATCTAAATCTCTTAAGTGCACAATATACAGATGTGTTTGCAACAGTGTATGGGAACAGATTACTGTTGTGTGTGGTGAGAATGGAAGTCATGGGTGTAGAGTGTTTTAAACCTCATCTTTTCAGTTAGATTCAGTTAGATAAAAATGTGCTTGCATTAAAGCAATTCACAAGTCCAGTTGGTGGGCAAAATTAAGAGGCAAAATAGAAATCAGTGGGCATCAGTCCCTTTTCAGCTGCTCAGAGACTGAGGAATTGGGCAGCTGTGTTCTAAGCTTAGATGTGCCCACATTTAGCACTCCTCTTTCTTTTCCTGGCCACCCATCTTTCTGGGCAGAACAGGAGACCAGCTGCTGGGATCCCCCTCCTGCCTGCCAGCTCCCACCATGCACTCCTTTAGTCAGGACTTGACAGAGGGAGACGAGGCTTTCCCCACTGTCTATGCCACCCATGGCTACAGCAGCTGCAGGGTGGGAGAGGCAGAGCAATGGGGAAGGGACTTGATTTTGCCTTTGATCTTGATCCAGGACTGGATTACTCTTCTGGTATCGATTACTAAACCCATAAGTTACGCAGGGTGGGCCAATGAACTCTCTTATTAGAAGATGGCAGAGAGGCTGTCCTCAGGGTTTCTTAAGCTGACCTTTGAAAAATAAAAATTAAAAATATATCTGTTGTGAGTATTTGTATTCTCAGAACATACTTGGACTGTGTGTTCTGAAATGCAGGTGGATTGTGAAACTACATTCAGGGGTTAAAATCAACCAACACACCCCACCCTGCTGCTCCATCCTTCCTAAACACTCTGTCTTTCCTATCTGAAACAGGTCATTGGAAAGGTCTTAAAAAGAATAGAGTGTTCAGGGACTCCCAGTTTTTGTCCTAAGAATAAATCCCATGATTATTAACCAGAAATTTGTAGTCCTCAACCATCTGGCCACACCTTCTCGATCATTCCCCAGAGAGAAAGTCTTCTGGTAGGACAACTCATGATTATCTACTGCCCCTTCTCCCTAAACTTTCAGGGTCACTCCCACCTACGCAGTGGTCTCCAGTGCCTCTTCAATATGTCAATAAAGATTACTCCTCTCGGGTGTAGCCCACATCTCCTTTCTTCCATAAGAAAGGACAATATCAACTGACTGATCCCTTCTTCCAATTCTTTTAAAACTTACTCTCTCCTCTATTACTTTGGACCTTATAGACTCATGCAGCAATGTGTGTGTGTGTATACGTGTGTGTGTTTGAATGTGCCCATTTGTATTAATTTGTATGAATTTTATCTTCCTGAAGAAATCAGTAGATTTTGTGTGGTAAGCTAAACTGAAGTTTGCACTTACTTTGGAAATGATCCAGGAGACGAAAGCAGTGAAGCCAATTCATTTATTCCACATTTTTGGCCTTCTAATGGTCGATTCAGCTGTGTCTAAATAAGTTTTGCACGTGTTAGAAATATCCACTCTAGCACCTCTATCAGAAGAAAATGGTAAATAGTGGTATTTCTTTGATATGTCTGATTACTTTTTTTGAAACCTAAAAAATACTAGCTTGAAATAAATGGACGGTATGAATAATCCAGGTTAAAAATTATCTAATGAAAGAATGACAGTATTAGTTAATTAAGCTTTTATTTTGATATAGGGGTGATATATAGACTTGTACTAGTTTGCTAAGCTAGTTTAATAAGCTTATTTGAGAGAATTGTGCAGTCAGTGTAGTCCAGGTCTGTGACATAAGCTTACAATAAGTATTTTTTTTATAAGTGGAGGAAATATTAAGGATGTGGTCAAGATGGATTGGAAATGCATTTGGATAGGAAAGTCGGGAGACAATTGAGATTCTGATAATAGTGATCAAAGCTAGAATTAGATAATTTACAGCAGTCTGTTTCAAACAATAACATACTTTGTGCAAAACAGTCTATTTCCTTTCTTTTCCTAATTTTGCTCAAACTTTAAGTGTAATAGTTTATACTTTAAAATAACATTCCTTTATAGAGAATATGATAAAAATGATTATGACCATAGGAAATAATGATATCTGTGAAAGAATAGCTGTTCGCAATAAAATCAAAATGTATTATTTCAAAGTTACTTTGTACTGTAAAGATCATTTTTCCACTTAGCATTTCAGTGGCTTAGGTAAGAATAAAGGCTTTTAGAAACAATTTTTTTTCAAAACTCTCAATTTTCATACTTCTTAAAGTAGAATGGGAAAGCTGCCTCATATTCATCTTTGTTTTAGGAAACAGTCTAATGTAGAAAGCTTTGTATCCATTCTGTGAACCTCGGGACCCGGACATACACCCCTGGGCGATTAGGCAGCGCACACTGGTATCCAAATGATGTCACACCAGCGAGAAACCATCTGTTGTTTTCTTCGCACATTAGCGGTCCTCCTGAATCCCCCTGAAGAGTACATCACAAAAGAAAGTTGTAGATGTGTGATCAATTGACAGAAATATATACAATTATTTTTAGCAAATAAATTCAAAACTGAAGATCAGAACTTTGGTTTAATTGCTAGTCATCTGTATATATTCTCACCATCACTTAAATCAAGGTCGAGAATGAGAACCTTTTGCTGTTCAGTAAGGACACAGAGAAACTATGACAACGAACAAAAGTTTATATGTAATTTTTTATGATTCACTTGTATAGCAAGCATTTCCTTAGTTTAATTATGGCAATTTACTGGGTACTAAGAAATTTTCTAAGGCACAACTGGGAGAGCATCCCAAGTAAAATATGTATTAAAAGCTAATCCTTTTAATAAAGGAGGTATGTCCTAAATATTATGAGGGGCTTTGTGGAAAAGACAATTATCCCACATTTGGTGCTTTAGAATAACTAAAACCTCACACATAAAGTTGATTTTAATTCTCTTGGGTAGCATTCACTTTTCGGCATTAGACAAGCCCAATCAGATTTGAAAAAAACTTAATATTTCAACTGAAATAGGCACATCTATGATATAATTTCTAGTGATAGGCACACATGTTTTCAGCTGAGATTTTAATTGATGAAGTGTTTTTAATTTTTATAAATATTAATTATAGCAATTCATAGTTAATTACCTAGATTTTACTGCACATGATTATTTCCGTGTAATGCAAGTGAATATCACGTAAACACATAGTACCATTATTTAATGACAGAATTGACAAATACTTTCTCACATTAATTGGGCAAAATTTTAAGTTAATCTTTTTTATATTTATGAAGGAACTTAAAGCCTTGTGTACTTTGGTTGAAGTCACTGGTACAATAGAATATTTCACCCAAGCTTATGTTAAAAATTATCCTGAGAGAGACTTTTTGCCTGATTCTTTATTATCTTTGGGACCTATATTTGAGGGAAAATGATGTGGTCTAGAAAATCACCCTTTCTCTCCTGGGTATAGAGGAGCATCAGTTGCATTGGCAACCACAGGTTGCTTCTTTTCTAGAAGTAACAAGTGCGTTCAAGCTGTTTGAAGGCAGGGATTGTGATTTTTATTTCTGTATCCTAAACCCTTCGTCTATATTTATGGAACAGTATCAATCCAAGGTAAGAATAAATACAGGCCCAGTGGAAAAGAATCTCCAAAAGAATACATATATATGGATATGTGTGTGTGTGTGGATATATATACACACACACACACATATATACACACATATATAGATATATAACTGAATTACTTTGCTGTACACCTGAAACATTATAAATCAATTATACTTCAATAAAAACAAAAATAAAAAATAAAAATAGAAGGATAAATACTGGCTCGAAGTTATATGTGACCTTGAAATTCGTCAAAATAAACCTCAACTGTTTGGGTATTTTTAAAAGTAGTCATTTGGTTTTCTTCATATTTTCTAAACTGATTCAATTTTTTAACAGACAACAGAATCCAGACGTTTATTACATGGACACGGGTTTTCAGTTACCCCGCACATACCGGCTCTGTTGCAGTTATTCAAAGAATCCACCAGCAGGCTTAAGGCCAAACAGCTGGGTGGTCCGTCTGGTTGCGAGCCCTATGTCTGGTTCAAACACTTCCCACCATCTGAGACCCCATTTCAGTTCTATTCCGTTACTTCTCTCTGCCTTAATTTTCTGATTTGTTCAATGAAGGTGTCTCCTTCTTCCACTGTCTCAGAGATGTGTTAAGTACTCCAAAAATAGGAGTGGATATGTCCAGAATGTACAGTATTAATCTGAAATGTCTGCTGCCACTTAGATGCTCTACTGGAAAAGAAAAATCTCCTTTGACCGAGCAGCTGAGTGTGAGGGTTGGAGACCATCTTTGTTTAGAGGAGCGGTTCTTTAACCTCAGGTCATCCCCGAGGGCTCACTAGCACACACTGCTGGACCTCCACGCCTGGAGTTTCTGACTCAGAAGCTCTCTGGCAGGGCCGGGAACTTGCCTCTGTAACAGGTATTCAGGTGATGCTGATCTGCTGGACCAGAGGCCATGCTTTGAAAACCAGTGGTGTACAGAACAAGGTTCTGAATAGTCAGCAAGCTGGGTTTGTGCCATTCACTTAGTTTTATAGAGAGATGACTTTCTACGGCCACACAGGGCACCTTAAAATCCAAACAACTGCCCCTCAAGCGCGAGCCATTGGTAAACCAGAAGATATTCAAGAACGTGTAAATAATGCTTCAGAGAACTTACTCAAGTGATGTCTCAGTAATAAAACATGCATCATGTAAAATAATGCATTCTTATTTAATCGGTTAGTCCTCTTGTTTAACACAGCATTAAGGTTGAACAAAGACAATCTAGTGACTCGAGACTATTGATTACTCAATCATGGTAACATATCACACAAGGTATTGCCTTGTGTGGGAGCTTCCTTACTTGCTAATGGAAACATACTTAGACTCTCTGGAAATCAGAGCCAAGTGTGACAGTTCAGAGATGTGGCATGAGTTACTGGCTTAACGTGACCCTAACATCAGTAGCGTCAGCAGTCATATTTCCTACCTGGTGCAGGAGGCGTCTGCCATGCAACCCCTATTAACTCTAATTGAAGTTGTACAGCTGATTTCCCTCCTGAACAATGATTCTATAAATCTCCCGCTAAGTGGCAATATATCTTACCTTTAGCACACTTTTCACTTTAAAAGGAAAGTATAAGATCAAAGATAAATTTTAAACAAGTTTGCTCTCCTGTTTGTCTTCAATTTGCAAGTGTTCATCAAAGCAGAATAAATGTAAAACAAAGCTGAATATTTCACATGTCACAAGCCATTGACTTAACTAGAGGACACTTAGACAGATCCACCTTCCTAAGTGTCTATTAAGAAAGTCTTGTATCAAGACAAATTATGACATATGCATTAATATGTGTTAAGATAAATAAGTTATTTCCACGTTAACAAAATGAAACCATTTGTCCACAATATAAATTGATACGTCCACATCAGTAAATTATTTGCTCAGTACTGCTATCAGGTTTAATCTAATCTAGTAGATGTTAACACATTAATATTTTATTAATTTTCAAATACAGAAAATATGCCAGAAAATTTATTTACAAAGTCTCTTAATAAAAATTGTTAATATTTTTGAGTGCTTACTTAGTGTCTTATATGTGTTACCTCTTTGAAACCCCTCAGCAATACCTAAGTGACTTGCCTGGTCTCACTCAAGTGTAAAGCAAGGGTCAAATTGAGCACAGAATCTATACTTTCATGGCTACTCCATACTGCACCTACAAATTAATTATAATTCTAAAATCTAGCAGAATTTACTTTTCACTGAGTGTGTGTAGATTTCATGGAGCTCACAGATGGCTACATTATTTCTAGGTGGTTAAGACTTTTTTTTATCTTCCATGAGGGTAGTCTGCGAGTAAGGGATTTCTTTGAAAGCTTGCAAGTCAAAAGCTGGTGATATTCAAATATGTTGCTAGCTATCCAGGTTGGTTTCCATCTGAAAATTATTTTGAGTCACTGGATGCCTGGACCATACTCTAAACCAGGGTTGAAAAGTCAAGGAGTCTAGGCCAAATTGGCCCGCAGATCTGTTTTTGTTTGTTTCCTTTGCATAGCGTTTTCAAGAATTGGAAATTTGAAAATAAATGCTTGTAACTAAGGGGTACACTCTCCAGCTCACCCCCAGGCCCATGACTGCATATTTTATTCAGCTGTCTGACATCCGCATTTTATGCCTCATCCCTAAAGACATCTGATTTGTAACCCTTGTCGGTAAAAATCCATTTTGTTTCTAATGCTCAGGTCCACCCAGGAAAGCTATGCAAAAGCCACACAGAAAAGTAAAAAGTCAGTTTTGAAAAAGAAGAAATGAAAAATTAGCACCCTGAGGATTTCTGTGTTCCCTGATCCCTGTTGAGCAACAAAGGCATCATATAGCAGTGCTTTCTG